ACAAGAAGAAGAACGGAGACCTGATGTTGGAATGAGCTGGAGCAGACGGAGGTTCTGCTACCATCTCTACCTTTCTGCAGGAATCAGAAACGATAATTAACTAAAACTTTACTAAGTAAATGTATTTATTTAAAAAACAACCAAAGTCACCAAAATGACTCCCATCTTCCGTTCATCCATCAGATCTAATTTCTCTGACTCCATTTTATTTCTCTATTTTTATTCTATTCTTTTATCTTCATTCATGTTTATTTCTATTACCTTCTGAATCCTAAACAGCCTTAAAGTTCAGCAGAGAAACTTTCCTGTGGTTCCTCAGAAACCAGCCTGTGTTCGAACCGTTTATCTTATTACCATGAATCTGTTCTTCATCGCTGGTTCGGTACCATAAAGGGGCTGAATTGGGTTAATATGTAGAACTTACCTTATTAATAGTTGCACATATAAGTTCATCCACTAATTCATAGATTTTAATCTGCCAAGAATTACAAGATGACATTTAGGCAGGTCTGAGTGGGATTGTAGCTGAAAATGTTCCTTCTCTGTCACTCTGCTGCCACCTGCTGGCAGGATATACAAAAGGACTCAGTACTGACTAGGTTCCTTCAATCAAAGGCAAAAAAAAAAAAACAGAAACAACTTCAGACTTTGGACTCTCCTGCCCCCCTTCGGGATGTATCATCCTCAAGCTGGGGTCCTCTACCAGAGGCCTGGGAGTTTGAGGGTTCTGCGCAGTATCTTGCGCTCTTCTGGACAGAGACGTCACTGCTGGAAGATGGCAGGAGGGAGGGGCTACTATATTTGGGCAAAAATGGCCGCTCCCAGACTCAGTGATCGCGACGGAAATTAATGTTTTTATTTTTTTATTGATTTTATTGACTGCAAACTTATTAGTTTTAGGTAGAAATAATGATCCATTGATAAATCTCTGAATAATTTTGGATCAGATTGGATAAAAATGAAGCTCTAGCGAAAGTTCAATTGAAGAAACTCTGACTTACCTCACATCATCAGAAGCCGATCCATCTCAGAAGCGAACCAATCAGCTTTGAACTACTCCACCACGAAGCCAATCAGCGTCCTGCTTCCACTTTATAAACTCCCTCAAATCTCACCACAGCCGCTATCCTGCAATCGC